TGTGGTGGCGTGTCGGGGGGCTCGAGTGGGTTGCAGGGGAGCTGGGCGAGGTGACAGCCCGTGGGGCTTGAGGCGAGGGGGGGGAGGGGGAGGGATGCTCCATGAGGCTGAGGTGGTTGTGGGGCTTGGAGGATGCTCTATGGGGCTGCTGTGGAGCTTGGGGGGGTGTCCCATGGGCTGAGGTGGCTGTGGGGCTCGGGGAGATGACCTGTGGAACTGCTGTGGGGCTCAGAGGAATGCCCCATGGGGCTGAGGTGGCTGTGGGGTGTGGGGAGACGCCTCATGGAGCTGCTGTGGGGCTCAAGGAGGTGTGCCATGGTGCTGAGGGGCTCAGGGAATGCCCTGTGGAGTTGCTGTGGGGTTCAGAGAGGTGCCCTGTCGAGCTGCTGTGGGGCTCAGAGGGATATGAGGAATGCCCCATGGGGCTGAGGTGGCTGTGGGGTGTGGGGAGACGCCTCATGGAGCTGCTGTGGGGCATACCCTGTAGGGCTGAGGTGCTGTGGGGCTCAGGGAGGTGCCTCTTGGAGCTGAGGTGGGCCTCAGAGGGATGCCCCATGGGGCTGAGGTGGCTGTGGGGTGTGGGGAGACGCCTCATGGAGCTGCTGTGGGGCTCAAGGAGGTGTGCCATGGTGCTGAGGTGGCTCTGGGGCTCGGGAAGATGACCTGTGGAGCTGCTGTGGGGCTTAGGGGGGATACCCTGTAGGGCTGAGGTGCTGTGGGGCTCAGGGAGGTGCCTCTTGGAGCTGAGGTGGGCCTCAGAGGGATGCCCCATGGGGCTGAGGTGGCTGTGGGGCTCGGGGAATGCCCTGTGGAGCTGCTGTGGGGCTCAGAGGGGTACCCCATGGGGCTGAGGTGACTGTGGGGCTCAGGGAGATGACCTGTGGAGCTGCTGTGGGGCTTAGGGGGGATACCCTGTAGGGCTGAGGTGCTGTGGGGCTCAGGGAGGTGCCTCTTGGAGCTGAGCTGGGCCTCAGAGGGATGCCCCATGGGGCTGAAGTGGCTGTGGGGCTCGGGGAGATGCCTCATGGAGCTGCTGTGGGGCTCAAGGAGGTGTGCCATGGTGCTAAGGTGGCTGTGGGGCCCGGGGAATGCCCTGTGGAGCTGCTGTGGGGTTCAGAGAGGTGCCCTATGGAGCTGCTGTGGGGCTCAGAGGGGTACCCCATGGGGCTGAGGTGACTGTGGGGCTCAGGGAGATGACCTGTGGAGCTGCTGTGGGGCTCAGGGGGATGCCCCGTGGGGCTGCATTGGACTGTGGGGCTCAAAGGAAAGCACTTGGGACTGGAGTGGGGTATTGATTGCCTAAGGGGTCTCTCCTTTCCTGGCCCCACAGCAGCCACAGGTGGGTACTTGGGAAAGCAATCTAGGAAAACCCAGTGGGGTTTGATCCCACACTGGCTCCTGCACCGATCCCTGTCGTGGGTAGCAGTTATCCTCCCTCACTCCATTTTATCAGCCAAATATTTGACTGTGTATTCTTACACTTCCCAAGAAGCTTGTTTTGACACTTCTGCCAATTTCTAAATTCTGGGTGTTGTGGTTTTTTTTTTTTCCCCGAGAAGGAGTTAAAGTTATTAAAGTCACCATAAATAACAGTAAATAGATAAATAAAAGTAAATAAGTAAAATGAAAATGTGGATGATTGAGTGGTGCCCAGATTTAGTGTTTGACCAACAGTCCTGTTTGAAAGCAATTGCAAATTTGGGTGCTGGGTACCAGAATTAATCAGGGTTTTTTTCTTTGGGTCACCTTTTCAGTCCATACAACAGCTCGTCTACATGCTTCATGGAGAGGCAACTTGGGAGGTCCAAGCTGTGGGAAGGAACCCAAGTGGTTTCCCATGTCTTACACGCTGTCATATTTAATACCTTTTTTTTTTCCTTTTGCTATGGATTCTAGGGAATAACTTGTATTTAATTATTTCCTCTTCGCAGTTAATGCTGCTGAATAATTCACCAGCAGTGCTGATGCCTCTCTGGGTCTGCGGTGCCATGCTTAGTTTGGAGGGAAGCTCCCGTTGGGATCTCCAGACCCACACCAGGATGTTTGTCAGTGCTTTTGCCCCACTGCATAGCTGCATGCCAGGAGGCTGGCTCTGAAACCCCAAACACCTACAAGACCAGCAGGTAAGCTGGGTATTCTTTGACAGGTTTCTCTGTCATGATGTTATGTCTGATGTAGGGTTTTTCCTGGAGAAGGGAGATATTTTCACCCTGAGCCCCGACCAAAGCAAAGGGGAGACTTGGGACATCCCTAGTGCAGCCCTGGGCTGCTTAAGAAAGCAGAGGAGATATTTCAAGACCGGGGGAAAAAAAGCCAAACAAATAAACAGCTGTCTGTTGGAAATGACAGATTGGAGAGATATTATCAGGCAGGACAGCAAGATGCCTGGCTAGATTAAATTAGCACAAGGATTTTTTTTTTTTTTTTCCCTTTTATTTTAGGAAAGTGAGTGAGAATGCGGCAGCAAAATCTGCCTGCGGATGAAAAACTCCTTCAGCAGCCTTGAAGACTGAACATCAACCGGGTATTTCAAAAGCAAGGGGGGCAGCAAGCATTTCATTTCAAGACGCCTTCCCAGGAGGGGGATTCACAGTGTTTTCACTGGTATCAAAGCCATGCGGCTCTGCAACAGCACAACAAAGTCCATGCATGAGGTGCAAACATCCACACCTCCCTCTGTTAACGAAGCTTTTTGAAGGTTGTGGCCTTCCCGTGGCATTTCGTACTTCGCTTATCCAAACTTCTGCCTGCGGGCATTGCCCTCTCAAAATTACCACAGGATTACTAAAAGAAATAGTTTACTAAGGGTCTCGCTAATAATACACTCCCAACCCCAGAGGAGGAGACGCTACCTTGATATTTGGAGCCTCACTAACAACCAGCCCAAGAGGAGCAATGCCATGTAAAACCTGTGGTCTTCGAATGTGAAATTTGGGGGATTGTGAGCAAGCAGTGGGTGACAGCGCCGCAGCAGCTGGAGGGAGGAGGAGGAGGAGGGAGACCCAGCAGCCCCCTGCTCGCTGCTGCATAGTGCCAACCACCCCAGGAGTTTCTCTGCCTGGTATCCTGTTACCACTTGAATCAAAATCTGGATGCCGAGCCAGTTTATTTTTAGTGCATTTTGGACTTAAAGTGAAGCGAATGCTGGTGAAATATGCAGTCCTGACAGCCCTGGAAAATCATTATTCATCTGCAGCATAGGCAGCAGGGAAGGTTGTGAGGAAGCAAAGCAATCCTGAGCTGCAAACCGAGTCCCCCGGTTCCTCCGGCTCAGGCTGCCCAGCGCTATGCAGTTACTGTCGGTCGTTGGGAGAGGGTTTTTCCACGCTCTGAGCAGACTGAGCATGATGGGGAGGAGCGCAGCGTGCAGGGGAGCGGCATGCTGCAGATTTGGACAGCCTACAAGCCTCCAGCTAAGCTCTCTGCATCCTGATCAGGGCAGCTTGCTGGAGCTCGACTGCAGCGGTGGTGGTGCCATAAAAATGGGAGAAACTTGGAAAACATGAGTATCTGAACCCTGCTCTGCTCGTCCAGGGCTGTGCTGCATTTGCTGTGCAAATGCAATGCCAGATCCATGCAAACTGGTGGGCCCAATGGCACCAACGCTGCCCGTGCTGCCTCCGGCAGTGACTCAGACCTGCTGCTTTAAGGAAAAAAACTCAAAGAGGGCACTTATGAAGCAAATACCGTGCAGAACAATCTTATTTCTGACCCCTTCGCTTGGGACCTTGCTGAAACCCTCCAGCATGACTTGGTGCCTGAGCTGACTGGATAGATCTGTGCTGCCTGTGGCTGGCTGCTTTGTGAGGATGAGGCCACGGAGGGGAAGCGAGAGCTTTCCTAGCAGCAAAAATGGGTCCCTTTGGTGCTCAGGGCACAGCCTGCCAGAGAGCCAGGAGGTCCCTGGACGCATGCCTTGGACAGTAGCTGGAGTTGCTGAGAGAGGCCAGGGTGACCACAAGAGATGTCCCCTGCATCTCCTTGCCAGGAGGATACGCACACGGCGTTCACATGCTTGTCGTCAGTAAGCTTGAAATCCAACCACAGGCAGCTCGGGGATTTGACAATTGTTTGTGTCTGCCTTGAGACAAATATCTCCTTCCCCCCATCACAAACTTGCTCCTCTAGTGCGCGTGTGTTTCGAGTTTCCTCATGCAAAACCTGCGTGGGTGTTTGGATATGTAATGAGCACATAGTTCAGGATGAAAACAAGTTGCATGGAAGAGCCAAGTAACGCCAAAAAAATGAAAGCAATACAAACAACAACATGGCACGCGGCCATACCAGCTAGATCGTGGGCCAGCCGGATCTCACGTACTCCCCGGAGCTGCAGAGCTGATCAGCTGTTGGAAAAAGAGACCTTTAAAGACAAGCGAGAGGAAATAGCATTGGCAGCACAGGCCACAGCGTGTTTCCTTCCAAAGCAGGACAGAGCCAAGGACATTAGGCAGAGCTGTAACATTTGGGGTCTCGTTGCTCAGCCGTGAAGTAAGGCAAAAACCTCAAGTGGGCTGCAGTTGTGTAAACTCCTATTGTTTTCTGAGCGGAAGCGGAGTGCTGGCCTGACGGGGTATTGTCATACCAGATTTTGGCGATGCTCACCTAACCAAGCTCCTTCTGCAAAGCCATGGCTTCATTTTAGCTCAGTGCATCATGCAAGGGGAATAAACCTGCCTGGGCTGGACCTGGGCTGGAGAGCATCTTCCCAAGCCAAAAGTGTGCTGCCTCCCATAGCATCTTCAAAGAAAATTACCTCTAACCTGTAGGCAAGGGTGGAGCGGGACTAGAGGCAATTCTAAAGAACTCTCCAAAGTGGCCTCACTCATGATTGTCTCTCTTTTTGATGACTTGATGGAAAAAAAGCAACAAAGCTGATTGAGACCTGT